CAAGACCCCCAGCCGGCGCGGTGTAGGGAGAAGGAACAGGAAGAGGGGAGTCAGGCTGTAACGGAAGACCAGTAGACGACGGTAGGCTAAGAACCTGGCGAAGCACAGAGTCAGGCGGCGGAGGGGACGACGAAGACGGCTGAGCGAAGAACAGTCTCGGCTGCGCCGCGGCACCAGCACCAGCAGCTCCAGCGCCCCCAGTAGCTCCAGAACCTCCAGCTCCAGCTCCTCCAGGACCAGCTCCACCAGCAGCAGCACCCCCAGAACCGACACCTCCAGCCCCAGGGTCTCCAACCGCAGTGTCTCCAGCAGCAGCACCTCCAGTCCCAGCAGCTCCAGTACTGCCAGTAGACAAAGAACCAGCACCTCTCCGAGCTCCAGCGACGTCAGCAGAAGCACCTCCAGCTGCAGAGCCCCGAGCTCCAGCAGCGCGACCCTGACGGCGACCGTACCAGTCGTGCAGCTGCTGCGAGGTGAGAGGCACACGCGGACGAAGGCGGCCACTCCAAGGAGACCGCGCACCAGCAGTCGCAGTACCCTCAGGCGCCGCACCCCCAGACTCAGCACCCCCAGACTCCTCACGCTCAGGCGCAGTACCCCCAGACGTAGTACCTCCAGCCTCCTCACCCAAAGGCTCAGCACTCCCAGACGCAGTACCTCCAGGCTCCGCACGCTCAGGCTCAGCACCTCCAGACGCAGTGCTCCTAGGCTCCTGACGCTCAGGCTCAGTACCCCCAGGCTCAGCACCCCTAGGGACAGCGCCGGCTCCAGTGCCTCCAACACCAGCGCACCCCGCAGCAGGGCCCCCAGCTCCAGCAGCGCGACCCTGACGGCTAACGTACCACTCATGTAGCTGCTGTGGGGAGAGAGGGAGACGGCTCCGAGAGTGCAGCGGCGAGGCACCAGCGGAGCGACTACGGAGACGGCCACTCGCTCGAGGGAGACTGCTCACCAGACGCCCCAGCGCCCCCAGGCGCAGCACCCCAGACGGAGCACCCCCAGGCTCAGCAACCCCAGGCTCCGCACCCCCAGGCTCAGCACCCCCAGAGACAGCACCCCCAGACTCCGCACTCCCAGGCTCAGCACCCCCAGAGACAGCACCCCCAGAGGCAGCACCCCGAGCAGGACCACCCGCAGCAGGACCTGAGTCACCAGTAACCTCAACCGGCGCAGGCAAGGGAGGAGGGTCTACCTGAGACACACCTGAGGGAGCAGGACCGGGAGCGGGGAGGGGGTCTACCTGGGGAGCACCTGGAGCGAGGAAGAGCAGCGGGGGGGGGGGGGGGAGGGGCAGTGCGGTAGGGGAAGAGACGGTAAAAGGGAACCGACTCGTCGAACGTGACGTCCTGAGACGCAAAGACACGGCGCGAGGTGGGGTGGTAAAACTACCAGCCAGGCGCGTCAGGGACAAGGCCAAGGAAGAGACAGGGAACAGCGCGAGCGGAGAGCTTGTCCGCGGTGGTATCGCGGACAAAGGCACGAGCACCCCAGACCCGGAAACGCTGCGCATCGCCAACCTCCCCCGTCCACAGCAGTGTGGGCGAGGTCTCCGGCAAGGAGACACGGGGCCAGAGGTTGAGCTGATGCGCGGCGTACCTGACCGCAAACGGCTACAGAAAATGGGGGGCAGCCGCATGGATCATGGAGGTACGAGCGACCTCCATGACTAAGCCAATGCGGCGCTCAGCAACCCCATTCTGCTGCGGAGAGGCCGGAAGCGTGAAAGTCTGGCGGATGCCGTGCTCCGCACAGAAGGCTGCCAAGAGGTCGGAGGAGAACTCACCACCTCTATCAGAGTGCAGACGCAGGACGGGAAACTCCGTCCCGAACCGCTCGCGGAGCTGGAGACGAGTAGCGCGGATCCAAGGGATCAAAACATCAGGGACTTCCCTTTTGCTGCGCAAGGGGAAGACCGTGGTGTAACGCGTGTAGTCGTCGACGACCAGCAGGAAGTACCGCTCGTGGCCCTGTCTACGACGCGGGCTGGGCCCCACACGTCCAGGTGGAGAGTTTGCAGAGGAGCCTCTGTGGGAGGGAACGAGGAGGAGTGAGGAGCGGCGCGCTGCCGCCCCTCGACACAGGGAAGACAGGGAGGAGTTGGCGAGGGTGGGAGGGGAGGGAGAACCCTGGGAAGACCAGAGACAAGGACACGGCGGTGCATGCTACGAAGGCGCTGCACCGAGGGGTGACCAAGGTGGTGGTGCCAAAGGAGGGTCTGGTGCGACAAAGCGCGACACGAGCAGGGGGGCGCTAGCTGACCTGACGCAGACGCAGACGCAGCTACCTGAGGAGACGCAGTGGTCAGGGTGTACAGACTCGAGCCAGGCGCACGGGTAAACGTGGCTAGGTGTCGGCCCGTCCAAGCACACGTACAGTGGGTCACTCGCTGACTCGCAGGAGTGAACTGGTCAACCCCGCCATCCTGGAGGTCAGCTCCACTCACCAAGTTTGTAGAGAACGAGGGGAGGTAGAGACCGGACAGCGAGCCAGACGGGGCGGCCGGACACGGCAGAACCGTGGAGTAGTGGGCAAGGACCGGACCCCCAGAGGGGTCCGCCAGGGAGACCGCAACAGGCCGACTAAGTGGCGTGAGCGTGGTGCAGTCGCGAAAGAAGGAGCGGGAAGCTCCTGAGTCAAGGGTGAAGGTGTGCAAGGCCGCAGCAGGCGCAGTACCAGAGAGAGCAGACTCACAGGCACCTGGAGCAGCAGCCTCACCAGCACCTAGAGCAGGAGATGCACTAGCACCTAGAGCAGCAGCCTCACCAGCACCTAGAGCAGGAGACGCACGAGCACCTAGAGCAGCAGCCTCACCAGGACTGAGAGCAGCAGGCGCTATACCAGGGTCAGGCGGTACGCACAGGTAACAGGCACGGTCAGCACTAGTAGGCAATGCATACATGGCAGTGAGAATAGCATCATAGTCAAGAGCAAAGATATCAACCCCCTGTCCAAGCAGCTCCAGCCAGGTGGGGAGCTCAGCCTCGTCGCCAAACACGGTACGCCAGGCGTCGCTCAGACGGGCGAAGCAGTGGGACTGTGTGTGACCAAGCGTCCCGCACGGTTGACCAGTCCTATCACCTGTGCGAATGACGTACTGGCAGCGAACTGTACTCAAAGACCCGCTACTCTGAGCGTACCACTCATGGAGCTGCTGGGACGTAAGTGTCTCGCGTGGACGCCGCTGCAGCTGCAGCTGGCCACTGCCAGACGCTCCCAACTGACCAGCTCCAGGGCGACAGCTACGACGGCTACCGCGACAGCCCCAACTAGTATACCACTCACTAAGCTGCTGGGGCGTGAGAGACTCGCGTGAACGTCGCTGGAGCTGCATCTGGCCACCTGCTAATAGCAGTAGTAGTAGCAGCAGCTCGCTGAGGGCAGGCGCGGCAGGCAGGCAGGCAGGCCGGCAGGCAGGCAGGTAGGCCGGCCGGCAGGCAGGCAGGCAGGCAGGCAGGCAGGTGCTCACCAAAGGCTGGAAGGGCAGGCGCTCGCCGTGCGAGCAGGGCCGGCGCTCGGCGGGCGGCGGCCGGGTAGGCGCACGACGGCGGCGACGGCGGGGCCGCAACAGCGGCTGCAGAGTAGGGCCGCGGCAGCTGCAGGGCGGGGCCGCTTCAGCGGCAGGTCGGGGCCGTAGCAGTTGCAGGGCCGCATCAGCAGCAGGTCGGGGCCGTGGCAGCGGCAGGGCGGGGCCGCGTCAGTGGCGGGTCGGGGCCGCTTCTGCGGCCGGGCGGGTCTGCGCGAGCGGTGCGCGGGGCAGCCGCAGGCCGCGCGCGGGCTGCGCAGGCTCAGGGCGTGCTGCAGGAGGCAGCAGTGGGCTGCGCGTGTCTCGGCGCGGGCTGCGCGGGCTCGGCGCGGGCTGCGCGCGGCAGCAGCGGGCTGCGCGCGGCTCGGCGCGGGCTGCGCGGGCTCGGCGCGGGCTGCGCGCGGCTCGGCGCGGGCTGTGCGAGATCGGCGCGGGCTGCGCGCGGTAGCAGCGGGCTGCGCGCGGCTCGGCGCGGGCTGCGCGGGCTCGGCGCGGGCTGCGCGCGGCTGCAGCGGACTGCTCGCGACTCGGCACGGGCTGCGCGGGCTCTTTACGGGCTGCGCAGGGCGACGCGCGTGTAGGAAGGTGCGCGCGGGCTGGAAGGGCGACACGCGCTGGACAACAGTAAACAGGAGGTGTGACAGTCACAGTCACAGTCACAGGCTCATTCGTGGGGTAGCGGTAGGTGGGCCCGAAAAAAAAACGGTCCTACGGACCTACTGCTCTGATACCATGTCAGAATCTAGAGACAGGAATGAGTGAACTAGCAGCATGCAGGAGTACAAGTAGTAAACCCTAATTGGGTTGTACCCCATATGGGCTACCCCACTACAGCCTACACAATATGCAGCATATATAATTTGACATTGAAGAATTCAGCCTCACTGATTGCAGCGATTTGACCGACTTGTCTGACGAGTTCACGTCTTGGAGCAGCTTGCAGACTTTGAAGATACGTTCGTCTGAACTCGAATTTCTGCCAGAAAACTTCGGGGGGTTGCTTGCCTTGAAGACATTGGTGTTGGATTCTCTGCCACTCTCATATTTCCCGGACTCCTTCAGTCAACTTTCATCCCTAGAGACCTTCTGTTTGGTCAATTGCAAATACATCTACCAGCTGCCTGCAGGGGTCTCATCCCTCCCTTCGCTCAAACTGCTATGCCTTCAATCGGTGACAAATGTCTCACTTCCGGAGGATATTGGGGAGCTCACCAGCATGCAGTCCCTTTTCCTGATTGGTTATGAAGCACAGCAGCTGCTGCCATCTTCATTTACCCAGCTGTCGCCGCTAACACGGCTTGAGCTCGATCAGTGTGCACTAACTGAGGTTCTTGAAGGCATCAGTCGGCTGTCAAAGCTCTAGGAGCTCTACATCCACGCGTGCGCTGCCGTGCAGGAGGTTCCCGAGTCAATTACAAGCCTCAGGCGCATGGAGATGTTGAGGGTTGTGAAGTGTACCCGTCTTACTCGGATGCCCATGAATCTGGAGGGTCTTGTCAGGATCAAGAGGCTGGAGGTTAAAGGGTGTTCGCGGCTGCAGGGAACTCCAACAAAGCTACCGCATTTGCTCGAGCGTTTGTCCCTTCCGATCAACCAGCAGCACACCAGCCCATTCTCGCCATTTTCTATGCTGTCAGAGCTGAGGGGATTGCCTTTGGGAACAGCTCAAGTCACTCATGAGCTGGCTCTGAGTCAAAGTTTTTCTTGCCTGACCCGATTGGAGCTGAATTTGGCAGATAATTTGCAGGAAATTCCGTTCCCCTTGGCATCGGTCTCTCACCTCCGAGCATTGACAATCTGGGAAGCAGCAGGGCTGAAATTCCTTCGAGAGGATATTGGCTCAAAATTGCAACAGCTGCGGCAGCTGCATGTTCACAAGCCTGCGGAGTTGGAAGAGCTGCCAGGAAGCATTGCAATGCTTCAACGCCTCACATCTCTTGAGATCCATGCGCTTAAGCTGGCCTCTCTCCCTGATGGCATCGGCTCTCTGTCCAGGTTACGCACACTGGATCTGTCTCAGTGCACAGCACTTGTGCATCTCCCTTCTTCACTCATGCAGCTCGCCTGCCTCAACAGCCTGCACCTTACTGGCTGCTCCATCCGCATCCTCCCTCCCAACTTCGAAAGGTTGACCCGGCTGAGGACTCTGGACTTGGATAATTGTAAGGACCTGGAGGCTCTACGGGAGGGGATAACACAGCTCAAGGCACTGCGGTGGTTGTCCGTTGTGTCAGAGGTCCACTGGAGATCCCCGATTGATCCTAGGGAAGGGTTACAGGCACGTCGGCCTGGGGGGTTATGGGCGCACTCACCCGCTACACAAACAAGCCCTTTTATCCCAGTGGTTAGTGGCTGGGATTTTGACATGGTATCAGAGCGAAGTGTCAAACATGTATGCTGCATATTGTCTAGGCTGTAGTGGGGTAGCCCATATGGGGTACAACCAAATTAGGGTTTCCTACTTGTACTCCTGCATGCTGTTAGTTTACCATTCCTGCTGCCAGATTCTAACATGGTTTCAGAGCACTAAGGTCCGTAGGACCGTTTTTTTCGGGCCCACCTACCACTGCGGTTACCGCGCTACCCCACGTACCTGCCTGCCTTGCCTTGCCTTGTGACGTGCTGCACTACGCGAGCCGTCCAGCAGCCCTAGCGCTGCCTCCTGCTGCCCTAGGCCAGCGCGCTGCCCCTAGAGGCCCGTAAGGCCCGCGCGCCGCCCCTACACGCCCTTCAGGCCTGCGCAGCCCGCACCGAGCCGCGCGCAGCCCGCTGCTACCGCGAGCTGCCCGCACCGAGCCCGCGCATCCCGCACAGAGCCGCGCGCAGCCCCCTGCAGCCGCGCGCAGCCCGCACAGAGCCGCGCGCAGCCCGCTGCAGCCGCGCGCAGCCCGCACCGAGCCGCGCGCAGCCCGCTGCAGCCGCGCGCAGCCCGCACCGAGCCGCGCGCAGCCCGTTGCAGCCGCGCGCAGCCCGCACCGAGCCGCGCGCAGCCCGCTGCGGCAGCGTGCAGCCCGCACAGAGCCGCGCGCAGCCCGCTGCAGCCGCGCGCAGCCCGCACCGAGCCGCGCGCAGCCCGCTGCAGCAGCGTGCAGCCCGCACCGAGCCGCGCGCAGCCCGTTGCAGCCGCGCGCAGCCCGCACCGAGCCCACGCAGCCCGCGCCGAGCCGCGCGGGGCCTACTCATGCATCGCGAGGCCCGCGCGCCGCCCGCAGCAGCCCGCGCGCGGCCCGCAGCAGCCCGCGCCGAGCCGCGCGCGGCTCGCCACTGCCTAACGCGGCCGCGCGCGGCCTGCAGCAGCCCAGCGCGCTGTCAGCGCAGCCCGCGCCGAGCCGCGCGCGTCCCTCTGCCTCGGCCCCGACCTGCCGCTGATACGGCCCCGCTCTGCAGCTGCCACGGCCCCGACCTGCCGCTGAAGCGGCCCCGCCCTGCAGCTGCTTCGGCCCTACTCTGCACCGGGTGTTGCGGCCCCGACGTCGCCGCTGTCGAGCGCACACAGGTGATCGGGTTGGTCAGCCTTGCGGGACGCTTGGTCACACACAGTCCCGCTGCTTCGCCCGTCTGAGCGACGACTGGCGTACAGTGTTTGGCGACGAGGCTGAGCTCCCCGACTGGCTGGAGCTGCTTGGACGGAGGGTAGATATCTTTGCTCCTGACTATGATGCTATTCTCACTGCCATGTATGCATTGCCTACTAGTGTTGACCGTGCCTGTTACCTGTGCGTCCCGCCTGACCCTGGTATAGCGCCTGCTGCTCCCGGTACTGGTGAGGCTGCTGCCCTAGGTGCTCGTGCGTCTCCTCCTCTGGGTACTGGTGAGGCTGCTGCTCTAGGTGCCGGTACGTCTCCTGCTCCAGGTGCTGGTGAGTCTGCTCTCTCTGGGTCTGCGCCTGCTGCGGCCTTGTACACCTTCACGCTTGACTCAGGTGCTTCCCGCTCCTTCTTTCGCGACTGTACCACACTCACGCCGCTTAGTCGGCCGGTTCCAGTCTCCCTGGCGGACCCCTCCGGGGGTCCGGTCCTTGCCCACTACTCCACGGTTCTACCGTGTCCGGCCGCCCCGTCTGGCTTGCTGTCAGGTCTTTACCTCCCCTCGTTCTCTACGAACTTGGTGAGTGGAGCTGACCTCCAGGATAGGGGGGTGCACCAGTTCACTCCTGCGAGTCAGCGAGTGACTCACTGTACGTGTGCTCGGACCGGCCGACACCTGGCCACGTTTTCCCGTGCGCCTGGCTCGAGTCTGTACACCCTGACCACTGAGTCCCCTCAGGTAGCTGCGTCTGCGTCTGCGTCAGGTCAGCCGACGGCCCCCTGCGAGTGTCGCGCTTTGTCGCACCAGACCCTCCTGTGGCACCACCGCCTTGGTCACCCCTCGGTGCAGCGCCTTCGTGGCATGCACTCTCGCTTCCTGGTTTCTGGTCTTCCCAGGTCTTTGCCTGCCCTGCCTCCCTCGCTTGCGCCGCCCTGCATTCCTTGCGTCGAGGGGCGGCAGCGCGCCGCTCCTCACTCCTCCTCGTTCCCTCCCACGGAGGCTCCCCTGCAGACTCTCCACCTGGACGTGTGGGGCCCTGCCCGCGTCCGTGGACAGGGCCACGAGCGGTACTTCCTGCTGGTTGTTGACGACTACACGCGTTACACCACGGTCTTTCCCCTGCGCAGCAAGGGGGAGGTCCCTGCTGTTTTGATCCCTTGGATCCGCGCTGCCCGTCTCCAGCTCCGCGAGCGGTTTGGGACGGAGTTTCCCGTCCTGCGTCTACACTCTGACAGAGGTGGTGAGTTCTCCTCAGACCTCTTGGCAGCCTTCTGTGCGGAGCACGGCATCACCCAGTCGTTCACGCTTCCGGACTCTCCGCAGCAGAATGGGGTTGCTGAGCGCCGCATTGGCTTAGTCATGGAGGTCGCTCATACCTCCATGATCCATGCGGCTGCCCCCCATTTTCTGTGGCCGTTTGCGGTCCGGTACGCCGCGCATCAGCTCAACCTCTGGCCCCGTGTCTCCTTGCCGGAGACCTCGCCCACACTGCTGTGGACGGGGAAGGTTGGCGATGCGTCGCGTTTCCGGGTCTGGGGTGCTCGTGCCTTTGTCCGCGATACCACTGCGGACAAGCTCTCCGCCCGTGCAGTTCCCTGTGTCTTCCTTGGCTTTGTCCCTGACGCGCCGTGTCTTTGCGTCTCAGGACGTCACGTTCGATGAGTCGGTTCCCTTTTACCGTCTCTTCCCCTACCGCACTGCCCCTCTCCCTCCCCCGCCGCTCTTCCTCGCTCCGGGTGCTCCCCAGGTAGACCCCCTCCCCGCTCCCGGTCCTGCTCCTTCAGGTGTGTCTCAGGTAGACCCTCCTCCCTTCCCTGCGCCGGTCGAGGTCACTGGTGACTCAGGTCCTACTGGGGGTGGTCCTGCTCGGGGTGCTACTTCTGGGGGTGCTGAGCCTGGGGGTGCGGAGCTTGAGAGTGTGGAGCCTGGAGGTGCTGAGCCTGCGTGTGAGGGGTCTGGAGGTGCTGGAGCTAGTGGTTCTGGGGCTGCTGAGGGTGCGGGCGCTGGAGGTTCTGGAGCTGCTGGAGGTCCTGGTGCTGGTGGCGCTGGAGCTGGTGGTTCTGGGGCTGCTGAGGGTGCGAGCGCTGGAGGTTCTGGAGCTGCTGGAGGTCCTGGTGCTGGTGGCGCTGGAGCTGCTGAGGGTGCTGGCGCTGAGGGTTCAGAGTCTGCTGTTGCGCGGTCTCCTTGGAGTAGCCGCCTTCGTCCACGTGTGCCTCTCACCTCACAGCAGCTGCACGACTGGTACGGTCGCCGTCAGGGTCGCGCTGCTGGAGCCCGGGGCTCTACTGCTGGAGGTACTTCTGCTGACGTCCCTGGAGCTAGGAGTGGTGCTGGTACTTTGTCTACTGGAGGTGCTGGAGTCGCTGGTCCCGGAGGTGCTCGTACTGGAGGTACTGGAGCTGCTGGGGCTGGGGGTGCTGCGTCTGGAGGTGCTGCTGCTGGAGACACCGAGGCTGGAGACCCTGGGACTGGAGGTGCTGGTTCTGGGGGTGCTGCTGCTGGAGACGTGGAGGCTGGAGACCCTGGGACTGGAGGTGCTGGTTCTGGGGGTGCTGCTGCTGGAGGCACTGGGGTTGGAGACCCTGGGCCTGGAGGTGTCGGTTCTGCTGCTGGAGGTGCTGGAGCTGCTGGAGGTACTGGAGCTGCTGGAGCTGCCGGTACTGGTGCAGCTGCGCCGCCACGACTGTTCTTCGCTCCGCCGTCTCCGTCGTCTCTGCCGCCGCCTGACTCTGTTCTTCGTCAGGTTCTTACTCTCCCGTCGTCTACTGGTCTTCCGTTACAGCCTGGCTCACCGCTGCCTGCTCCTTCTCCTTACACTGAGCAGACAGGTAGTCTTGCTGAGCGTCGTGAGCCTGCGTCGCGTCCAGTCTCGCCTGTTCGTCCTAGTCGTACCGGTCGTCGTGTTCCTCGTCCGCGTCAGCCGGCTGTCCCCGGCACACGCCTTGTAGCCCTGCGTCGGTCCCCTACTCCGGAGCGTACTCCTCTTCCGTCTCCCCCTGCGTCCTCTTTGCCTGTCGTCGCGGACCCTGAGTCTGACCGGTTTCGTGCTGAGCACCCTACTGTCACGCGTCTGCTAGCCACTGTTGTCACTGACCCGTCGTTTGAGTCTGCTGCTGCGTCTGCCTTAGTCGCTGAGCTTGTTGACTTTGCTGCTGCCTGTCGTCTAGACTACGCTGCTAGTCTTGTTGCTGAGTCTGAGTCTGTCTGTCCTCCGTCCGTCGGGGGTGAGTGTGCCCTTGGCACGGACGTCCTTGAGGACAGGCACGAGGACCTTGAGTCTCTTGCAGCCGCTGCGCCTCATCTCGTGGCCATGCTGCTTGCCCCTGAGGGAGACCCGGATGCTATAGACATCCCCACACCGCGCTCTTACGCTGAGGCGATTGCGGGTCCCTACTCCTCTCAGTGGCAGGCAGCCATGGACGCAGAGATGGCATCCTGGAAGTCCACAGGCACTTACGTCGATGAGGTTCCCCCTCCCGGGGCGAACATCGTCGATGGCATGTGGATTTTCAGGGTGAAGCGGCCGCCAGGTTCTCCGCCTGTCTTCAAGGCGCGTTACGTTGCTCGAGGCTTCAGTCAGCGAGAGGGAGTTGACTTCTTCCAGACCTTCTCTCCTACCCCGAAGATGACTACTCTTCGGGTGCTGCTGCACGTTGCCGCACAGCGTGACTACGAGCTTCACTCCCTTGACTTCAGCACAGCTTTCTGTTAGAATCTAGAGACAAGAATGAATGCATTGAATGAAACAGTTGGGTACAAGTAGCAAACCCTAGTTGGGGTTGTACCCCATATTGGCTACCCCACTACAGCCTACCAACATTTAACACACCCCCATAGGCAAAGTGGGGGAGAACAAAGGGTCGCAAGACCAGTCCAGCAAAGCAACGCAAGCCCAGGGTGGATCACAACGTCACCACACTCCGAGCACAAGCAAAGGCCACAAGGCCAGTTCACATGCAGTGCTAGATATAGTACAAGACAAGCAACACAGTGATCAAAACCTAGCAAGCAAGCAACAAGATATATATAAAGTACAGTACAAAGAAAGTCAAGCAGTAAGCAAATGAGGGAATGTGGACACAAGGCCTAAAGAAGTACAGTGTCGCTGATGATCACTAGGCGGGAGCGCCTTGGTGAAGATATCAGCAGTGTTGGCCTTCGAGTCCACGTACACA